AAGAGTGTTTAGGATTGATATAATTTTATCCTTAAAATTTCTTTCAAAAATTAAAATATTTTAATTAAAAAATAAACAAAGTCTGTAGGATGTCTAATGATAGCATCCATTTGATTCCTGATACTGATAATTTGTACTCTCTTCTTGATAAGTCTTGTGTGTGTATGAGGGTGTGCGGGGGGTAATCAATTTTATTAAACTTTTCAAAGAATAAACTTTTGTCTATATACATTTTTCTCTTCCATTTCATTGAATTTTCTCATACTTATTATTCTATTTACTTAGGTTGAATTTCTTCTTTAAAAAAATTTTTTTTATATATATATTTTATTGATTTTTTACAGAGAGGAAGGGAGAGGGAGAGAGAGATAGAAACACCAACAATTGGCTGCCTCCTGCATGCCCCACTGGGGATTGAGCCTGCAACCTGGGCATGTGCCCTGATCGAGAATCGAACCTTGATCTTCTGGTTCATTGGTCGATGCTCAGCCACTGAGCTATGCCGGCCAGGTGAATTTCTTCTATTTACTTCTTTTTCTAGCTTCTTAAGGTGAAAACTTACGTAATTAATTATTTTATGATATGGATTATATAGAAGTATGTTATTTAATTTCCAATTATTTGGTTCCCCCCCCCAAGATATTTATTATGTATTGGCTTATATTTTAATTCCTTTGTGACTGGAGAAATATTCTATAAATTTTTAACTTTTTGAAATCTATTAAAACTTATGGTCTGAAATATGGTCTTTCTTGAATGTTCTATACACACTTGAAATTAATTTCTATTTTGTGATTGTTGGGTGTAGCATCCTGCAAATGTCAATTAGGCCAAATTGGTTGATAATGCTATCCAGACCTTCATAGCCTTACCTTTTTTTGGACTACTTTATAGGTTACTGAGAGAAGAGTGTTAAAATTTCCAACTATAGTTGTGGATTTGTCTATTTCTTTTGTTCTGCCAGTTTGAATGCATAAATGTTGAAATTTGTTATTAAGTTCATACATTTTAGGAATTGTTATGTTATTTATTGTCTTTTTTAACCTTATTAAGTAGCACTCTGTATCTCTTCTTATAAGGTCTGTCTTCAAATCTACATCATCTGACATTAATATAATCACACCAGGTTTCCCATGTTTGGTGTTTGCATTGTATATCTTTTTCTATCAATTCACTTTCCACCCATTTGTGCTTTTGTATTTGAACTATCTCTCCTGTAGACAACATCTAGTTGGGTTTTGTTTTTTTAATCCAGTCTCTTCTGACAATCGGTGTCTTTTAATTGGACTGTGTAATACATTTACCTCTGATGTAATTATTGATGTGGTTGGATGTACGTTTACCATCTTGCTACTTGTTTTTCATTGTTCCTTCCATTTTTTTGTTCCTCCATTGCTCTTTTTGGGTTAAGGAAACGTTTTTTAGTATTTCATCTTCTTTTCTCTATTAACTTCTTAATGCCTTTTCATTGTTTTTATTTCCTTCCAACAATATAATGCTATGTACCTGTCCCCTCCATCCTTTTTTTTCTGTTTGTGATATATTTTACTTCCACAGTATTATAAACTTATCTAACATTATTATCATTTTCACTTTCTTGACATCATTATGTTTATTCTTTTTTGAGAAAATTACAAAATAGCATAGCTTTTTATGTCTACCTACTTATTTGCCACCTTTGGTGTTCTTTATTTCACCCCGTAGATGTGAGTTACCAATAGGTATCATTTTCCTTCAGCTTGAAGAACCTCCTTTAGCATTTCTTATAGCTCAGGTCTACTATTATCATCTCAGATTTTATTGTTCTGATAAGGTCTTTAGTTTGTAGTCAACTTGAAGGATATTTTTGGTGGATATAGAAATTCTGATTGACATTTTAATCTTTTCTCTTTCAACACCTTAATAGTTTCATTCTGTTTCCTGTTTGCATCAGCTGTTTTTTTCTGATGAAAAGTCACACAGCATTTATGTAATTGATTTGGTATTATGTAATGTGTCTTCTCTGGATGCTTTTAGGATTTTCATTTCATTCTTGGTTTTCAGCAGTTTGACGATGATGTGCCCAAGCATGTTTTTCTTTATATTTCTCCTAATTGGAGTTTGCTGAGAGTATTGAGTCTGTGAATCAATGAATATTAAATTTGAAAAGTTTTTGGTTGCTATTTCTTTGAATAATTTTTTTCTGCCTCAATTTTACTCTCTTTTACTCTTGGGGCTCTAATTATATGCATGTTGGGCTACTTGTTATTATCTCACAAGTTTGGTTTTATTTTCTTCAATATATTTTTCTCTCTGTTCTTCAGTCTGACTAATTTCCCAGAATTTTTCTGCTGCCATCTTCAATCTGATGTTAAGCCCATCTAGTAATGTTTTAGTCCCAAGATTTCCATTTGGTTATTAAAAATAAACTTTTAATATTAGAATAGTTTTAGGTTTAGAGAAAAGTTGCAAAGATAGTACAGAGTTCCTATATACCCCGTACCAAGTTTCTCCTATTGTTAATATTGTACATTACTATGGAATATTTGTCACAATTAGTATCAATGCATTGTTATTAACTAAACTCCATAGTCTATTCAGATTTTATTAGTTGTTCCCTAATGTCTATTTTCTGTCCCAGGATACCATTTGGGATATTATATTATATTTAATCATTATGTCTCTTATGCTCCCCGAGTCTAGGACAACTTCTCAAATTTCCCTTGTTTTTGATGACTTTGACAATTTTGAAGAATATTGGTCAAATATTTTGTAAATTGTCCCTCCATTTGAGTTTTTCTGAAAACCAGATTGTCCTTAGAAACACAATCCACAGAAGTAGACCATGACCTGAACACTAAATCTAAACAGGGTGACTACAAGTTAAGTTAAAATTTGAATAGGACCAGTGTCTCCTAAAATAATAGTCAAAATATCCAGGATACAATTGAAAATCACAAACCATACCCAAAATGAGGAATATTATAACTTGAATGAGAAAAGACAATCAACCAATGACAATACCAAGATGAATTGGACGCTGGAATTATCTGACAAGGATTTTTAAAGTAACTATCATAAACATGATTCAACAAGGAATTATAAATTCTCTTGAAACAAATTAGAAAAATCTTAGCAAAGAAGAATCAAATAGAAATTATAGAATTTAGAAAATATTAAAAAATTGCTGGATAGGTTTATTAGTAGACAAGGAGAATAGAGAGTAGAACCAGTGAACTTGAGGACAACTCAATAGAATTTACCCAACTTGAACATGTGGCATGATAACAAAAGACTTAACATTTGTTTCATTGCAGTCCCAAAAGA